TTTTTTTTCCGATGTGTTAGTTAAATGTTACCGCCATGGGACTACCGGGTGGGCGGTGCCAAGCAGTCAGCACTCCACTGAGCCACAGATACAGAGTGGACGGATCAAACGCTCCCAACCAGCTCGCTCACAATCTCGCCTCACAGCCGGAACTACTTGTGGATATTTTTATTTTTGGTTTCTGAAGAGGCGATTTCAGTCTGTCTCAGTCGAACCGACTCGATCCACGCCTTAAATGCACCGCTCTCGTACACCTGCTACTCCCGCTTCGACCGGGGTTCTTTTTCAGTTCCGGCAGCCGGTTGGGGTGCTTGTTTCGAGTGAGGGGTCCTGGAGTTCACCGCACTGGCGGCTGACGCAGGAGAAAAAAAACAGAATAAAAAGATTCTTGATTTATTATAGAGATGTGAACATTTTTGTGTAAAGATGATACTGGAATCACTGCACATTTGTTGTTCTTTTTTCATATATATATACCGTTTTGTCATAGCCTTATTTATTTGTTTACTAATGAACAGTCTTTTTTTTTTTGTTAATATGATTTGAATGTTCTCCGGTTGCCTTTTCTCCTGCGAGCGACCCCCCCCCCGCCCCCCATCCTCGGGATGGGGAGAGGGGTCTTAGTGTGACAGTGAACGTCTCTGGTGGGCAGAGTCTTTGAGGGTGATTAAAGCGTCCATCTTTAATGTGACGATACTTTGGGGATGACCACTGGTGCTCTCGCAGCGTCAAAGCCGATCAGCGATGCGGATACGGGGGGGAGGTGGGGGGGGGGGGGGGGGTTATCTCTCTGCTACATCTGGAGGGCAGAAGGAGGGCTTTCAAACAATTATTAAATTAAAGGGGCAGGGGGTTGGGGTGAGAACTTGGGCTGCCAACAACACACAACCCAGAAAACCCAAATTCAGCGCGTCGGCGTTCAAGAGTTTTTCTCCCTGGAGAAAAAGGAGACAAAAAACAAGGGCAGAAAAAAACAGACTGGACTGAACTAGCAAAAGGAAAAAACAGTTTAAGCTCAAACGTCCAGTTAGTTTCTTTGTAGAAAGGGGGCAGGACTTGGGCCGTAATCTCTTCTCTCGGTAAAGCGAAGCGGTGTTTGGTTTCTACGGATCCAGTCTGGTCCGTTTTTTGCTGTTCTCCTTTTTTAGTGTTCTCCTGCTTGGCCCGCGGTTTGATGCCGGAAGAAGGAGGCTTTACCGCAGGTGAGGAAGGAAAGGGGGGGGTGTACCATACTGCTGACATACGGTGAAGCTCCGCCCTCCACGCTTGTAAATTAGGCGTTGTGATGACATTGAACTGCCTTCACTTTTAAAAAAATGTCTTTATTCATCTGACGTCGGGGGGGTTTTATCAAACTGTGTCTACTCGTCTGTACAGAACGTTGACCTCCGGGGGCACAGGGCGCGCGCCCTGTGCGTGTATTGCCCACTGATTCGGAACCGTCCGATCTCTCTGTCCTCGTTCTGCTCGTCCCAAACGATGGCGACGTTTTTAGATTTTTAAGTTTGTGATGGTTGCGATTTTTTTGTTTTGTTTGTTTTTCTTGTTGTTTTTTTTTGTTTTTTTAAAATGATTCTTTGTGTCTGATTTCATTTGAATTGATCATCTGATTACTTATTTCCCCCCCTGTCCACTTTTATTTCCTCCTTTCTTTGGGGGGTGCTTTTTTGTTCTGTACAGTTGAAAATTGGACAGTTTGTTAATAATAAAGTCTGCAAGGTTTCTATTCTATACTCTGGTGTGTTGATTTCAATTCAGTCATTAGAAGATTTGTTTCTTGTCAGTATTGTGTCTTTGGCTCTGAAACTCCTCTAATCTCCGTGTGGATACATTTTTGGGCACTAATCATTCCAGTCCTCCATGTACATTGACCCTAAATGTTTCTATTTAAAGCTGGTTTTGGCAGCTGACCCACAGTTGTAGCACTTAAGCTTATGACTAAGTGCTACCTCTTTATTATAAGAAATGGTCTTCTTTTTTGTATTTTTAGATGTCATAAGATCGCAGAGAGTGGAGGAGACCAAAGAGGAGAGAAGAATCATTTCCTGAAGGTAAAGTTAGTGGCTGTGTCTCAAAGTCGCTAGGCTGCATCCTTAAGGACTCATTCGTCGACCGCATACGTCACTTCGGCTGCAACCCGTCTGTCCCAAATCTGTCGGCTCCTCCGAACACGGTTGAGGGACGCAGCCCTCCGAGAGCTGATTTGAAGGCCACATCTGATCTATCCTTTGCGTCCCAGCACATCCCAGCATGCAGTCTGGGCCGACAAGGATTGAATTTATTCAGAACGGGGTTCATTACTGCTTCTTATGAACATCAATTAGTGAAAAGTCACTTCAATGACTTAACTTTCACACTAGGGGCTGACTAATATCTTACTGAGGCGGTTACTGTTTATATACAGAGATAGAAAATAATAATTATATATAGAGATAGAAAATAATAATTATATATATATATATATATATATATATATATATATATATAATGATTAGTTTATACTTCATATTATAAACAAATGGAACAAAGTAAGCTCAGACAGAAAAGTTATGAACCTGAAATATTACTTTTTAAGTCCGTAACGATACAGAATAAGTACACAAAACTGAACTTGCTTTGCTCCTTTTTGTTCTGTGGTGTGATCATAAACTACATTTTATGGAGGAAGCATCAAACTGAAGGAGAACGATGTGTGTGTGGGGGGAGTCAATAAAGTTAAATGTGTTTGCTATTGTGGTTTTTATTGATAACATTGATTGTAATCTCCTCTGTTTTTGCAATATTATTACAATATTACTTTTAGCTGAATGTTCAAGGCTTAACTGAAAACCCCATGGTTATATTCATAAGGATCCAGTGTCATAAATACATCTGTCCAGAGTGGGGCTTTCGACTTGCATTATTTCTTGATGTACTGTATATTTCTAAAGGGAAATCTCAGGTAAGGTAATGTCTCAGGTTATAAGGTGCATCTGTTAATGCAAGTGTACAATCCTATTTTTTATTTGTTAAACCGATTAAATACACCATTGATTAATATTGTGGACAGCTTCCCATTGGTGTTAAAATAACGCCTACAATAGAATCCATGGTACTAACTAACTAACCCTGTGACTGAGTCAGTAGTTTAATCTATTTATTACATTTGATGTTATTAATGCTTATTGGTGATGGGCACAGTCAAACATTACAGTAAAAATGTCTTCACTGCTACTGAAACACAGATTGTACTGCACTGATTGATATTGTTTAATTTAGTGTAGTTTCTGTATTAATTGCAATCAAGAAGAATCTTCTGTCCATATAAATTTGAAGCATTTGTAGACTAAAATAAATAAATCGAAACGTTTTGACCATTATGTTTTTTTATTTATTGATGTCGCAGCTGAAAACCCTTTTTCTCTTTGCCATCACATGTCTGACGGGACAATCACTTCCTTCAAACCTTTTAAATCTCTATAGAAATGGAGGTAAAAGACAAAGCCTTTGCAAAAGTCTAGGAGGTAAATTGACCACCAGAGAATAGTGTAATACCCTTGTAATGTTGAAAATGTAATCAATAGAATACCAATGCACAGCTATGATTGTAATGAATGTAATGTAATCAACCAAAATGCATGCATGTAATGCTTGATCACCACAACTGGTATTGACTGACAGACATTCAAAATCCAAGTTACATTGAACGCACCAGGAGAAGTCACATGTCCAGGGGCGTGGACACTACCTTTCACACCTTGACTGATCTGTATAAATATCTGTAGGCACCCATTGTTCTAGGAGCTGGTTGGTGGAGGTGAATGAGCTGCTCTGTGGCCTGTTGATTGCAGCAACCAGCAGCTCCTCAGCTGAGATGTTTCATAACAACACCTTTTCTTTTATTAAATACTTTTGATTTTAACTTTTCAATCCAAGATGTTTTCTCTCTGTCCGGAGTTTCTTCCTTTTTAGAACACAACATAAACCATGTACATAGCTACTAATGCTATATAGCTGTGAAAACAGTCATGTTGTAGTAAAACAAATAATTGGCTTTTTGTTCTCTGTAATAAATGTATATTAGTAAAAACCTTTTACAAAACAAAAGCATGAAATGGCAGCAGATTCATAACTTTTGACCCATTTAGCTGCACGTTTATAAATCCTCACACTTGTGTGAACATTTCACGCGAGCTCAGCCGGCGTACAGGTTTATGTCTGTGCGTTTTTGCCCGTTAGCGCTGTCTTCATGTACTGGTGTATTTTGTGTGTTTTTCCGTTTCGTACGTGTGTGTGAGAATGTGTCTACGTAAGCATGTGTGTTTTTAATGTGTGCGTTCTGTCTGGTCTGAGGAGGCTTCGGGCCGCCTCACACATTGGCGTCAAATATTTCAGGCCGACCCGACCAAAAAACACGTCGAGCGGAGCTGTGATTTATGTACTCGAATGCCCTCAAAACATTCAGAAGTACCTTCTTTGAGATTTTACAGCGTCTGACAAAATAATTGTTAAAACCTTCACACGACACAATGTCTGAGTAAGCATGTTTTTTCTGTAATGTACGTAGTAACATAATAAAATTAAGTACAGAGAAGAAATATCTGCAAAATCTTACCTTGTGAACACTGATAGATCAGAAATACTAATTTATAAGTAGCTAAAGTGTGTGCCTCTCATGCATCATTATTATGTGTTACAACATTCAACTCATAGAGTCAAGCTTCTTTTTCCAAAAAATAATTCTCTTATACATACATATAACTATCTGGATTAAAATCTATTCAATCTGCTGCAGAAGAAAAAAGATGTGACTTCCTTCCCCGATCTAAACTAAGATGGCATTGGTGTACCTGCACATGTACCTCTGAGATGCAGAAGAGGAGAAGTAAAAAGTAGCAGAGCATGGAATATTACTAAAGTAATGTGCAAATACCTTAAATTAGCACATGAGTACAGTAATGTTCGTAGTAACATTTCATCACTGCGAGTATTACAACAATAATAAAAAGAATAGACTGAAACACTTTTGTATGGATTTATTAAACTCTTTAACTCGTGGCTAGATCTTATACACAGAAGAAGTTATACAGAAACAGTGAATCTCTCAGTGGTTCAACCCCCCTCCTCCCTCCCTTGTGAATTTCACTCACTGGTTACAACAGGTCTGATTTAAGTCAGGTAACATAACAGTGTTCCACTGGGTCAAAATTGTGTTCGTTCTCTTTAGACAGTCACCTGACCTTTGCTCCATCATGACTGCTGCGGCCACTAGAGGGCACTGCCCAACCATATGTGTAAATATGGGTCGTAACGCGCTAATAGCTTTGACGACCTTCAGTGACAAAGCCCCTGACTTGTTTCCCCCTCTGATGTGGGCTCTAAGTCTCTATTTAACAGCTTCATTAAATAAATAAAAATTATAGTTTTGTTACCTGCAACCCCCTAAAACATTAAAGTTACTGAACTAAACATTGACTTTAATTTTAAATAAAAAAAAAATAATAATAATAAAAATTGTGACGAAAACCTGGAAAAAAACTTTAAACGCTAAAGCTCTTTTAAACACATGGAAAGAAAATATATTTGACTTTGCTCTGTTTCTCACGTTGTAATTGTCTTTGCTATGGAGGTATTTAAATATTGAGCAAATCTCCTCGAAAATATAATATAATAGACGGCCACATCAACACAGACAATATGAGAGATTTTACATTGAACAGGATATAAGAGACAAAAGATGTGATGCTTAGCCCCTAAACTTAAATGTGAAGATAATTATTTATTTTGAAGGGCTTTGTTACAACAGGAACTTGTTCATTCACCGATGACCTTGATGTCACTTGATGAAAGTGGAAGTTGCAACACTTTGAGTCCAAACCTCCCTTTGTTATTCCCTCTAAAATAATAAACACCCACAGCACACAGACTCTCTCTGACATTAACATTTTACATTTCTAACTGATTGTAGTGTGAATAATGTCTCTGGTGACCCCTTTGAACCCTTACCCCCCCCCCCGCCCTAAAACCCATACGGGGAAACAAACAGCGTGACCTTGGTGAGGTAGCGGCCCAGCAGGTTGTGGCGCTCTAGCTCGCTCATCTCCACCTCGGCCTCCAGGGTGGCGGGACCCTCAATGGGCGCCACCAACAGGAGGGCACCGGTCTGCCGGCCAGAGCGCTGCACACTGAAGTGGCCCCGCCCCCCTGCCAGGCCGAAACGCAGCGTGTCGCCCAGGACGCGGGCCGCTGACACACGGAAGAGGACGCGGGGGGTGGACATGTTGGACACCGCAGACAGGAAGTGGAAGGAGATGGAGTTGGGCGCCTGAGTGCAGGCCTTGTCTCCCAGCATGCACGGGTTCCTCTCACAGCGCCTGAGGACACACCAAGTAGATCGTCCATCTTAGGATCTCTTTAGTCACTTCCTGTCTGGCCTCTGCAGCTTGATGGGTTCTTTGATTGGTCTCTCAGATGAAACACGATTCCTGGAGGTGATTAATCAAATTCTGAGATAAAACAACAAACTTCTTTGGTTTATGAACAACAAGGGTTCAGACCAATGGAGCGTTGAGTTAGTAGGTAGTTTAAAGAAGAAGACGTTTAGAAAGAAAGTTTAAGGAGCTTGTTGACACCCACGGTATCCTGAAGCTGGACTTGTTCACTGGCTGCCACATTTTTGGCACCAAAACATTTGAAATATGGGGTTAAATCTTGCTTTTGCCTCTCAACCTCAGCCGCTTCTTCTAACTAACAGGGTCTTTGTATCAACTTTCCCACAGTCCCCGAAAAAACAAAAGATTAGGTTTGATCATGTTTCTCAGAGGATGATTTCTGACAACTTTCCTGATCCTGAAGTTACCAGAAGAACTGAGACCCGTCATACTCATCTACCAGGTGAACTGAGACCCGTCATACTCGTCTACCAGGTGAACTGAGACCCGTCTTATTCATCTACCAGGTGAACTGAGACCCGTCATACTCATCTACCAGGTGAACTGAGACCCGTCATACTCATCTACCAGGTGAACTGAGACCGGTCGTACTCGTCTACCAGGTGAACGGAGACCCGTCATACTCGTCTACCAGGTGAACTGAGACCCGTCATACTCATCTACCAGGTGAACTGAGACCGGTCGTACTCGTCTACCAGGTGAACGGAGACCCGTCATACTCGTCTACCAGGTGAACTGAGACCGGTCGTACTCGTCTACCAGGTGGACTGAGACCCGTCCTAACCTAACAAAGAGACATCCCACGAGTGTGGCCAGGACTGTACAGGCGGAGATACTGACATTGGCGAGGTCTTGATGTAGGTGGCGTTGATCATGCGAGGGCACTCCACCCTCACGCACCGGAACCCCCCGAAAGTGTTCACGCACATCTCCTCCGCCGCGCAGTCGTGCAACTGCTTCTCGCACTCGTCCACGTCTGAGGACGGAGACGGAAAAGAAGAAGCATCAGCAAAACGGCTCAAACCGGCTAAATGGGAGGGGTGGGGCCTTTGACCTCGGACCTGTGCAACCGCGACCCTCCCCAGAGAGGTCGTAGCCAGCCGGGCAGAGGCAGTGAAAGCTGCCGGGAGTGTTGACGCAGCGATGGACGCAGAGCCGCCCGAGAGGGAAGAGGAGACACTCGTCGATGTCTGCAACACAGACGAGTACAGGTTCAAGTACAAGTAATGGGAGTACAAGTAGTAGTGGTAATAGTGTCCATAGTAGTGGTTGTAGTAGTAGTAGTGGCAGTACTTGTATTACATGCAGTAGTTATTGGCGAGGAACATTTATCACCTGTGCAGATGTTGTTGTCGCGGCCTGAGATGGTGAAGCCCACGTCACAGGTGCAGCGGGTGGAGCCCAGAAAGTGAGTGCAGTGAGACTGGCGGACGGAGGAGGGTGGGGACAAAGACGTGGGGGACGAAGACCAGGAAGGAGTAGGTGAAGAAGGAGAAGGTGAGGAGGAAGGAGCAGGAGAGAAGGAGGCCAAGAAGTTCCCGGTGCTGTTGAAGCCTGCGATGAGAACATTTTATAAAATTGTTTTTATTTCAAACCGAACCGTCTCTGACGCCTCTGCACTCACGTCTGCAAATGGGCTGCTGGCCGCTCCACCTCTGGGAATCCAAGCACACCCGCGTCCTCGAGCCGATCAGCTCGAATCCGGGCCTGCACAGGAAGTGGACCTCGTGGCCCACGCCAAACACCCGGCCCAGCCTGCGTCCGTGAGGGGGGGGCTCCAGTTTGGAGCATGAAGCTGTGGAGTGGACAGAGGCGTGTCCATTAGCCTCCTGAGTTCACGGAGGTCACAGAGAGGTCACGGAGATGTCACGGAAAGGTCACGGAAAGGTCATGGAAAGGCGGATTCCTCACCGCCGGTCCTGTTGTGCAGGGCACTGATCTTCATCCTAAGGGAGCGCAGGCCCTGCTGGTACGAGGCCTCGTGGACCACCAGCATCTTCTCCACCTGCCGCAGTAAGTTCAGCAGGCTCTGGGTGGAGGGACACTCCTGTTGGCGGGGGGGGGGTTGGGAGGAGGTTAGAGACTAATATTGTTTAGTGGTTTAGATTATAATTACTATGAATATTACCATCAATACTATAATAATAAACTACACCTTTCATTATTCAAACTCAATTATTATCATAATAATACAACTAGTAATAGTCAAAATGCTTTTTTCATAGAGTACTTGTCAAGTGCCTCACAAAAATAAAGGTCATTAAAAACCAAAAAATTAAAACCAAGTGACAAATTGGACCTTAAAATAAAAAAAGACATTTTAAGACATTAATTGAATGTGCTACATTCATATTAGAACTTGTATTATTATTATTGATATTAATATAACTGTATATCAGCAGTATATAAGGTATCTAAAATGTGCTCCCCATTAATGTGATGAACATAATAATGCGTGAATATCGTGTATACAATACACAATAACAATAACTCCGAAATATGAGTAATTTTACTTTTGATAATTTAAGTACATTTTTGGTAATAATACTTATATCCGTTACCTCGATCAACCACATGTGAAGTAAAGTGAGGACAAAATTCTGCCGATAGGACTTCAAACCTTTACAATAACTTCTAGCATGTTGCCATGGTAACCTGAACTCACCTGAGCTGAAGAAGAAGAAGAAGAAGAAGAAGAAGAAGCCGCCGTGTGATGAAGACACAGCATCAGCACAACGATCTTCATCCTGATCTTCTCGTTGCTTCCAACTGATCGGCCGTGTCTCCAGAACTAAACCAGCTCCTCGGCTCCGTGGCTTTTCGAGGGTGCGTGTAAAAATGCCCCCCGCCCCCGGTTAGATATTTAGGAGGAGGAAGGAAGTCAGCGACATCTGGAACCACACTTTCCCTTCATCAGCAACCCAAGAAATCTAGTCTTCAACTAGGAGAGATCAAACATATTTCTTTTATCAGAAAGCTGCTCGTTTTCATTAAAAAGAATTTAAACAATAACTAAACAAAATGAAATAACCAAATTTCACTCTCGAGCTTCTGGAATGTGATCCCAAACTTTGGAAGTTTATGATTTTAAAGAAGCGGATGAAAAACACACAAGACGTGAAAAAGAAGATCTTCTACTAAATGTTTCTCTTGTAGATTAATCAAATGATTTTTTAAGAGAATACTTTAAAACTATTTGAGTAAAATTAGCTAAATTAACTTAAAGTGTTAAAAAAAAACCTACAACAATGTACAAATACATGCATGTGCATGTGTTTGCGTGCCTCTGGCCTGATGGATAAACCCTTGTTGCAATGCATGCTGGGAAGCTTCTGATGGAGGTTAAACTCTGAGATAAACACAGAACCCAGGAGACGCCCCTCATCTCCGTGTCTTAATAAGATGGGACAACTTTGATTAAAAATGAAGTCACATTATGGCCTCCGCGATTAAAGACCAGCTGGTCGATTTATGAAGGCTGATTAAACTTTCATCTACCAATCAACGCTTCCCAGATTCCAGAGGTAAACATATTTATGTCTGTGAGGAGATCGGACTGAAGCTAAACGTTCGTTGATGGTTTTGAGTTTTATTTGTCTGTGTTTCTGCCTCCGCTCCGACACCAAACCGTAGCATGTCACTTTTTTTGGTTCTCTAAGTATCATATGTTAAAAATGTAATTAATGTGGTAATGTCAGCTATTTTTAATGAGTACATTTTCTACTAAACAAAATATCATAGAAATGCTGTATGGTCTGTTTGACTCTAAATGGACCATAATTAACTAAATGAACATCATGCTGTATTGAAGACTTGAAACTAGAGATTGAGACCATAAACTAATGTTTACAATGTTTACTGAGGGAACAAATCAAGAAAGAAGTTGAGTCATTTCCTTATATGGGACCAGAGGAGTCGCCCCCCGCTGGTCACTACAGAGAATGCAGCTTTAACACATGAAGTTCTGACTCCACTTTACACACCTGGAAGTTGTCGCCTGGTCAAAACAACAAGCCACAATAGCAAATTCAGCACAAACCACATCCACTCCTGGTTCTTACGTTTCATAATAAAAGCCCAGGACATTCACTGTTGATAAGCAAGTATTTCACATTTTTGTGTCGTTTATTGGTCGTTGTCCAGAATCTGAAACGTTGCAGGACCAACTGTCTGCTGACGTAACATCTGGATGTTTGTGTCACTCTCTTATGAGGCAGCTGGCAGGAGGATCATTAAAGAGCAGCGGGCAGAGTAGATGCTGAGCTGAACAGCTGTTCAACTAACAAAAACAGGGTATAAATAGTGGTTTCACGCCACTCTGTAACTATCAGAATCCCCCCCTCCACAGGAACTAAATAGTAGCTGCCCGAAGAAAGGGTTAAATTTGTGTATGTTGTGTATGTTCAACCTATGGTGGAATGCACTTATTGTAAGTCACTTTGGATCAAAGCGTCAGCTAAATGACATGTTGTCAATGTCATTTAATGTATGTAAGTAAAACCATAATAACAATCTCGCTTGTAGTGTCTTAATATTTCATATTTCTTAACAAAGGATAGTTTACACTGCAGACGTTTTTAAAATCATACAGTAATATTTCCACGTGAATAATCCTTTTTTCCTCCACTAGGGTGCGCCGTATCTCCACAGGACAAACACATTGGTGTTTTTCAATCAATGGAGCAACTTCTTTTCTATTTCGCTCGACTTTTTACCTGCTTCACACTCCCTCTCCTCTCAGACCCCCCCCCCCCCCCCTAAGAAATGAGGCGGTCGTTCCTCCTCTCCCCCCGTCTGTGAGTGTCAGATGGTACGATCCACATCCTCACCCTCTCTCTCCCTGTCAGGGAAGCATCATTAAGAGACTCTCTGCTCCTCTTCCCTTTCTTCTTCTTCTTCTTTCAACCCATTTCAGGAGCGACTTTCCAAGACACCAAGAAAAATGTGAGTGACACACACACTCACCCGCACACACACGCACACACACGCTCATTAAGATCGGTGTGTTTGAAGAAATGTGGTAACTGAAAATGCTGATTCTGTGCGACTGTTGAGATGCTGCAAAGGGGCAGGTGTGTGTGTTGCATACACATGTGCTTTTGAGGTTTTCTATGTGTGTGTACAGTAACTTCAGTTTGTAAAAATAAGAGCAAGCATGACAAAAGAAATTTTCAAAGCTTGAAATGACACAACATCTTGTTTCTTGATTGAGACAAACTGGACACTGAAAACAAACTACTTAGTCACATATTCACGTTTAACTCAATTAGTTTTGGATGTCGGATGTTCAATATACATGCAATTACTTTTAAGTTACGTTGAACTTATGTTCTGTCATAGTACTCTTTACTGTTAATGAAATACATTTTAAAGGTGACATATTTTGAAAATTCTACACAATAATTTGGGTATCTTGCATGTCTACCGACCCCAAAATTCTGGAAAAAAACAATTCCCACTATTTGTTATTGTCACGGTTTGGGTTCACGTCCTTTTATTTTGTAGTTTTCTGCTTCTTGTCTCCCTGGGTAACTTCACTTCCTGCCTTGTCCTGTCATCCCCTGTGATTGTCTGTCGTGTCATGATTGTTTCCACCTGTGTCCGATCACCTACACCTCCCTAGTGTATTTAAGCCCTGTGTGTCTCTTGTCACTTGTCGAGTCATTGTTGAATGTCTGGAAGTCCAAGTCAGAGTGTTCCTGGTTCATGTCTGCGTTTTTCTCCCTTGGCCTTTTCTTTGATTTGGAATTTCTGCGTTTTGCCCCCTTGGCTTTTGATTTTGAAACTTGAGTAATGAAGTTTTTTTTTTAATCTCTGGGTTTGACTCCTGCCTACACCTGCCATCCTGACAGTTATGGTTCTTGTACGTCAGAGACGTCATGCTTGAGTGACTGAGAATGAGTTTCCTTATCCTTCTCTCGTGATAATGAAATGTTTCAGACGGGGTAAAAAGGGTGCAGTTTTAAATGATCCTTGTGGTATTTTGACCAAGTATGTTAAAGACATTTCATTAAGCCCCGAAGGAACCATATCAACATGTGGTAAAATGGGCATACGATGGGACCTTTAACACAGTGGTCCCCAACCTTTTTTACCTCACGGACCGTTTCCATGTCAGACAATATTTTGCGGACCGGTCGAGAAGGTCCGGCGGAATAACGGGGAGGTAGTAGTCGTTGCGGGCGGAACGACCGACGGGGGGGTTTAGTAGTCGCTCGCTCTGTGTTCGCTGGTGGGCAATAGCGGTCCGCGGCCCGGTGGTTGGGGACCACTGCTTTAACACACAGTGCAGTTTTCAAGTACCTGTATCTACCTACCTACTAACCAACCAACCGACCAAGAAACCAACTCACAGCTACACACTAACTTACCTACTTACCCACAAACCGATCTACCAACCTACCTATCTATCAACATACCTACATACCAAACAACCAACCAACCAGCTTACCAAACCACCTGTATACCAACTTACTTACCTTCAAATAAACCAACATACCAAACAAGCAAACCCACCCAAATACCTACCTACCTACCAATTTAACTATCAACCAACTGAACTACCTACATACTGAGTTAGCCACCTACCAACCAATCAATGGATCAACAAACCAACCTACCGGCCAACCTCACCACCTAGCTATCCACCTATATGCCAACAAGGTCCTCAGTTCCCCTGAGTGCACTTCCTATTGTATCCTGATGAAGTCACATGTGGTTCGAAGTTTGTAGGCATGTCAACATTTCCTCAACTGCAAGCGCAATGGGTGCAAGGCACAACAGGCACACAGCAGGAACAAAGGCAAACCTTTCTGTTGTACAGCAAACAGTTCAGAGTTCAGAGAGTCGATGATGCACAATGGCTCAGCTGAAGGCAGCTGGAAGGCACAATCATCATTTAGTATCTGGTATTTGTTATATTCCCTCGGAGTTTTGCACTCTCTCGCCCGGTGTCCAAAAGCTTCCCTCTTTTGTTCATTTTAACGCCAACTACATGTTGGAATACTTATTGGAAGCCAAAAAACAAGATGGGGAGCTCAAGGCTTTAAATCTGTATCCCGAACACAATGGGGTGACGTCACTGTGAGTTCATATATATATATGTTAGATGGTCTTGTTGTTGTGTTATACTGCCCCTAGTGGGGGCATAAATCAATGCGCCTTAAACCTTTTGAACGACGGGTAAATCTTAGCTAGACGTTTTTTGCCACCTTTGCCTTTACAGATTTTGGGGATTGGGATTTTTTGCCGTGTTCCAAAAAGGAATCTCGGCTGACTTGAAAGATAAGGAAGGTATCATGAAAGTGAGAGGAAAATAATTGCAGTGTGGTGGTGGGGCGGCTGGCCTCTGTGTCCATCCTGATGTGACCTTTGTTTATTGCTTCTCAGACAGCGGCATGAACAGCGCCGGTCAAACCGCAGCAGCCGAGAGAGGACGCGGCGCCCCCGAGAGGTGAGTCTTTGCAGCTACGCCGCATGTCCAATATCACAATCCAAAGCTTGAATTCAAGCAATTCAAACGATGATCTTTTCCTTAATTTGACTCAAAGGTTTTGTTAAAAGTCCCACCTGAATTGAACCACCTTTTAGTACCGTCATTATGACGAAATGGCTCGCTGGCGTCGGTGGACCTTTTCTTTTGATTTCTCGCTTTTCTTGTATAGTATATCTGCAACCAAATTTCTTCTTTAAGTAATGTATTAATAGTTAAATCATTACAGTTAATGAGTTACTAATCATATTACTTGTATTAATGTCTAGTGTAGCATTAGTACATTTTACTGCAGCAAATGCATCTGAAAACCTGTATTCCGTAAAATTGTTAGGGCTATAAATTTAAATGCAATAAATGAATCCCATGTGTGCATTTAGCATAATATTTTAATTTAATACTTTAATTTTATTTATACATGACAGTAGTACTCTTCCCA